TAGCTGACAGTACTGCTCCTGTAGATGCTGCCTGTCCTCTAGCTTCTATCCAGTAGCTTTACCTGCCATGGGAAGCCTTGCATTCACTATCATACCCTCTGTCTGGGTGATCATCTCCTCTTTGTCCAAACCAGGTGGTGCAAAAGGAGAGAGGGAAAAAAACTCCTGCTCCTCACAGAGATAGACAAGGAGAAATAAGGCAGTTCACTGAGATTTGAACCATTACGTGATCTCTCTGCTCACACAGTGCTAACTTAGTAAACTAAGTAGCTGTAAGGTGGATGGACAGGTCTACTTGCATCCCTGTAACAACCTTAACTAGGACAAGCATGAGGAAATGGATGAGGCAGCCAGACAACCCTTTTTTTTCCCCAGAGTCAGATGAAGAATTCAGTCCTCTTTCTTCCATCATCCTATCTGCCTTTAGCTAGGAATGATACCATTGAATCAAGGAATATGTAGCAGCTGGCAATACCTCATCTCAGCCTCAGTGTAATCATCCTTATGATTCTACATGGTCTATACAGCAATCACTCAGTCCTAAAGCTATGGAACTAATTAGTGCCACGGGACAGCCCAACAACCATTCCTTATACTCTTCGGAATATCAGAACTGAACCCCTGATTGATAGTCTTTCTGTGGCACAGAAACATAGGGGAGGTCTCATAGTTAGTCCTTCATAAAGTGTCAGCCCTCAGACTGGACCTTTGTATGTAGCTTATTGTTCTCTGACTTTTAATGTTGCTCAGTTAAACAGCACTCTTTTTAGTGTACTTAAGAGCCATAGTTTGACCAGAATCCTACTTAAATATGCCCATTATCTTATTGTTTTTCTCATAAATTGTTTATAGTGAAATGTGATAAATGACTTTTCCATTCAATTTTTTGTACAATAGCATTTATCACATTTTTCCCCCTCGGGTTATTACTAATTAATAACATTTAATGAATGACAACATTACATATATGATTTATAGTAACCAAAGAAAGTTTTAAGGAAGCACCAAGAACAGAGATGAGGCTAGTTTCACATTCATATCCAATCCTGCATAGCAAAAAAATAGAGCTCTGTCCTTACAAAAAAAAAAAAAAAGACTGTAAAAATGACAGCTTTTACCCAGCATATCTGTTCATTATTTCTGAGACAATTTCTCAGAATTCACTAATAAAAATTATTTCCTAATGTTTTTGATCATGATTAACCCTGCAGAGCAAAAATAGCTTAGAGAGAGGGAGCCAAAAATTACGGAAGTCCACAGCCATCACTGTACTCCATCTTGGTAAAGATAAATTTTCAGGGTGCTATGGAATTTTAAGTTCTGCAGCCTGAGTAGGTTTCATAAGTGATCATTCCCATTCTGTTTTTTTTTCTTTTTTTTTTCTTTTTTTTTCTTTTTTTTTTAGGACAAAAATACATTATAAGGCTACCCCAGCTTTAAATTGTAAGTATGAGTCACTTATAAGCATTACTGACACAGTTTGCCATGACCTTTGCAATATAGAAGAATCATTTTCATTATGGGTAATTTTTTCTTGTACAATATTGTAATCAAATAGGCCAAAACCAATAGCTCATTTAATAAAGACATAAGTTCATTTAATAAAGACATAAGTTGTCTTATCATAATTTTTCAAATCCTCAGAATTGTAAGATATAGAAAGCAGCACCTATCATGCCTCAATGCTTTCCTTGATTATCATGATACAAGGAATATTCCTTTCCAGAGGAAGTAAGAGATACCCACATCAGAAGTTTACTTTTATTAAAAAAACAATTCTTCCATCTTTCCTCATGCTGAGTAAGGCTGACAGTCCCTGGTGGAGATGGATCTTAGATATAGACCCCTCCCACATCTATTCTGCATCTACTTGTCAAAGCAGAATTTTACCTTAATTTCTGCTCTCACAGCCCACCCCTGCTATCCCAATGGACACACTCTCTTCACTGCCTGGCCTTTCTATCACTGGATATTTTTTCTGGTTTTATAATTTCCTCTTCTGGGCCATTTACTTATGAAATAATAGAGTCCAATATACCACTGATTTCTTGGAGTTTAAGGGATTGCTATTTATTGCTATTATTAAATATAGTGTTTAAATACCTAATTTAATACTTACTTAAACCAGACAAAATGCCCTATCCTACAACGGGCACAGACCTCTGCATGTAAATAATTTCTTTATTTCTTCTCAAAATAGGAAGTAGATATTTATACAGTGAAGACTGAAGAACTGGCATTCACTTCTGCATTCTGCCTCCAAATTCAACGTAATGATTACATTCATGCCTTGGTCACCTATTTTAATATTGAATTTACAAAGTGCCACAAGAAAATGGGATTTTCTACAGGTAATCTGTACTTCTTTTCATTTCTATTGACGTCATTATATTGTTGCTACTGGTAAGATGATACATGAGAAATTGCTGTACCAGCAATACTTTTCAGTGATGAAAACTGTTGTCCCAACTGTTGTTGGGAGTGGGAAGAGGATGAGGAAGACAACTGCTTGCTGGAATACAACAACAGCATAGCAGGATTTCACAGTAACTATCAGGTTTAGAACTCCATGTCCCAAGAGTTCATGCCCATCACTAGGTAGATAGATATAGAATGACTGGTTATAGAAATAGACAGAGGGTATATTGCCTCTGTAAGACATAGCAGGGTGTACATTCCCCCAAACCTGAAACTTGCTTCTCTTAGAGTCTAGAACAAACCCATCATTTTTTTCCCCATGATATAACCTCATACATACCGCTTATGTAAATAGGCCCTAAGAATCTAAAGAATCTAAACTCTTACTTACTCTGGTGAGCCCCACTACCCCATACCTGTGAGTGATTGCTTATCAGAGTGAGTAAACCAGTTTATTTTTGTCAATACAACTGTGCTGTTGTGAAGCATGTTTGTTACTGCAGTACAGGAGTTAAAGCAACCAATGAGAGAAGGAGCTTTGTTTTCAGTTGTTTCACCAATCTACCTTGACTTGTAAGATGATCAAATATCTATAAATAATGTCTCTATATTTTTTCTAGCACCTGATGCTCCTTATACACACTGGAAGCAAACAGTCTTCTATTTAGAGGACTATCTAACTGTGAGACGAGGGGAAGAAATCTATGGGACTATATCCATGAAACCAAACGCAAAAAATGTGGTGAGTCAGCATCACTGCTTCTAATTCTCAATTCCATTGATGACAAAGTATAATCAGCAATAAACGAGTATAAATAACACAGGCATATATAGTATGTGTACACTACAGTATTGTACAAGTATAAATAACACAAGAAAAAAAAAGGCTCCATATTGGTATTAATTATTAAGAGCTCTAGTCACAGCTTTAACCAATGCTGATGACAGCAATGGTAATGCAGTGCTAGTGATCCAGAACTCAGCAAACAAGTTAGCAGGGAAAGGAAGAAAGGTTCTAGCTACATCACCAAGTCAGCTGTCTTCTGCAGTCAGCCTGGATCACATTTTGTGTCACAGGCAGGAAAGGCCGTCTTTAAAATCAGTGGTAAATTCCACCCTGCCAACAGAGGGTGATCAAGAGTAACTAATTTTAGTAAGCAGATTTCCTAAAAAACTCAGTGTCCAAGAACTCTCCTTCATGGAATTAATTTTTTTTTAAAAAAAAAGATCAATTCAGTTTCTGCATGAACTCACCAGTCAAATGACATGATTACCAACACAACTATCCTCCATATTTGTTTTTCATTGATGAAATAAGAGTGTTTAGCTAGAACATTTACTAACACATTAGTGCTTTCGTCTTATGCAAATTACATAGTTTCAACACTGAACTGTATGTGTACATACCAGTAAATGCATGCTATAACAATGAGCAGTCACTAAACAGAATTGTGATTTCAGATTATCAAGGTTGCACAGAGAGCTGCCAGAGGAGCTCAGCTCACTAATTGCAAGAGTCAAATTTTCAAAAGGAGATTGTTCTGTTTGTTTGTTTTTCATAAAGGTGGTTGCTGGTCCATGAGTTATTTTTTAAGGCATGCCATTTCAAAGTCTGTCCCCTGTGACTGTCAGAATGCCACTCGCAGGACTAACTGAAGATGTATGAAAAGCAGTGAAATAGCTCCCAGTGGACTAAACATGTCTTGTAGAATTGGTTGAACCTTTCCTGTGAAAAACAAATCAATTTGCAATTACAGAAAAAAAAATGTTTTTAAGATTTGCATTTCCACAGAAAATATTAACCTTTTTTTTTTTTTAAAGACTAATGCTAAAACATGACACATATCATGCTATAATGACTGGTGAGAGTTGTAGTTCCACTTCCTCAAATTATCTGCTACAGTTCAATTCCTACCCCTCACAAAATATGCCATTGATTCAGCACTTCTTTTATCTTCTGAGGAGAGTGTGAGATATGGAGTCTTTTGGTCTCCTTTGGTAGAGGAGAGCAAGACATGAGAAGCAGGACTCCTGGGAGAAACAATGGCATCAATTTCTGCCAAAACAATCCGAGTAAAACCCCTTCATTTTCGATTACAATATCCAACCATCAAAACAACTTAGCAACAATCAATTCATGCAGCGGTTAAAACTGTAGGAATCTTAAATTCCATTTCTAAAGCAAAAATCATTGTGTTACCTTCCTTTTTCTTGCATGCATTTTCCTATTCCGTACTAAAAATCTCATATTAAATTCTAAGAATAATACTTAATGCTGTCCTTGGGGACTGAGTCATTTTCTTTCAGCCATTTTCTTTTTGGGGAAAATAAAGAATGTGCTTCATACTGGCTTGTTTAGCACTACACTGCTTTTCTGCAGTTAGAAATTTACCAGAACAGCTGCTTTTGAACAATTTTAAGTGTGAATGCCTTAGATTGAGTGCCTCAATGTGGCAAACCCTTAAAAGAATTATTTGAGGATATTTATGTTAGCATAGCCTTACAAGAGCTTCCTAGTTGTAGCCAGGACACTAAAGCAAGCTTAAGAAGAATATGAAAAGATGCCATAAACATAGATTATATGAGGAATGCTATTACACTTCCTACATCCTACTTCTTCAGTGTTAGCAACATTTTAAAACACTCTAGTTATATCCTGAGTCTGCAAGTTTCTTCAGTCTGAGCGATCATAACTGAATTAATAAACTAATCTACTTACAACCTTACTTACATGTTATATTTAAATCTTATTACAGCGTGACCTGGATTTCACAGTAGACTTGGATTTTAAAGGACAGCTATGTGAAACATCAGTATCTAATGACTACAAAATGCGCTAGCAAGAAACCTTTCAGAAAGATGGAAGGAAAATGGCATCAAGTCTTGAACTGCTGAACTTCAAGCTAGGAATAAGTGTTTGCAAGACTATCATATTAGATACTAGAATGTTTACTCTGATGGGAAGTGGTAACTGGATCCCTCTTGCAGGTAGTACAGAGGGCTGGGTTCCCACTGTGAATGTACAGTATACAGAACCATAGCTTTTATCAAATATATAGGCAAAATAAGCAACAGTCTTGAGAATTCTGGTTAGCTTTGGGATGGCAGAAGAGTAGAAATTGTACTACTTCCTGTGAATTTATGGTTCTTCCAAGCTTTGCATGTTACAGGCAATTAGGACAGTTTCCTTTATATAGAAAACCATGACAACACTTTGTCATGGCAGCATTACTGACCTTATATTTAATATAAATATACAATATATATATGTGTATATATGTGTATATTGTACACGAGAAAAAATTTGTTGCTTCATAATAGGAATTAGTTTTGTGATTACTTGTCATTATATAGTTGCGGAAAAATAATGTTACTTCTCGCACTACTTTAGGCACTGGCATGGTCTATCTATCATTCGCTGTCCAAAATAATAGCTATGCAAAGTATAAGTAAGGTAATAGAAAGACAAACAGCTATTTTTTAGAATATCATTTGGAAAATATGCATCATTAATTTTAAAATTTATCTACACAAATGGGTTTCTGCCAGAGCTTTAAAGAACATTAGCTTTTTATCCTTTAAAATATTTTGTGGTGCATTTTTATAGCTGGATTTTGCATTGCATGAGACCCTCTGAAATCAGATATTTGGTATTTAGATGTGATGAATGCAAAGTCTCTAAAATGGTGAGTAATTCATGTTTCTTGGCCATGCTGTATTTCAGTTCTCCTTTCCACAATATTCTTAATACAAAATAATTTTCGAAAAAAAAAAAGAGAATTGGTATTTACTTTGTTGATGTTGTAGATAAGTCAAAGTGCAAATACTAGTTTTAAGAGTGCGGTGGTTCCTCTTTGCTGGAAGAAGGTATGTCTTTAAAAAAATGTATGTAGCTTCTGATACTACTGAAATGTCTGTAGTGTCCCTATTCCCTTAAACTCGTTGTTTTTCTTTCAATATTTTTTGCTTAAACTATTAATTGTTTATAATCCTTGATATGTATGCTTCAAGTTTTTTTTTTTTTTTTTACTATATGAATTACGACCATTTAATCACATCCTATTGATCAAAACTGCGTCTCTGGCCTTATCCATGCATCTTCCAGTCTCCACGCATTAGTCATTAAATCATGATCTCATCATGTACTGGATGAGATTGAGCATCTTTTTGCCTAAAAGTCTTTGTAATTACCTGAAAATGAGGCAGACTAGAAGACTTGAACAGTTAAAAACACTGCTCATTCATAAACTTTTTTATTTTCTTCATTTGTCAATGTAAGATTGTTAGCTTTTCACTTTCTAGAAACTATTTATATTGCTTTTATCTGCATTAGGAAACTGTACAGTACCTCCATTTTTTATGGTCTAAGATCATGCTTTAGGAATCCTAGTACATGGTATCTACGTAGAATTCTATTAAATCATAACTCATCATCAAAATATACTGTGTGGAGCACAGTTCATCACAGTTCCTTCAAAGCATGTTTGTTTCATATGCTTGGAATGGGGATAAACTATATCTCCTAACAAAAGGATGCTACATCTCCTAACAAAATGACTAGGATCTTATTCTTCAAATACTTCAAGGGATTATTCATAACTAGATCATCTGCTTTCCAAGCAGTAGACTAGACAAGAAAACGTGCAAAAGTTCCTTCTACCAACATTTCTGTGATTCTGGGACTTCAAGGTAAGGAATTCTACCAGATTTTTTTCTGTGCCCATTCCATTTGTATAAAGATGCCCTCAACCTTAGAACAATGCTTGTTTTTAACTTCTCTTCTGCCAATAATTACTGATGTGACTACAAATGAAAGAGGAAATATTGTTTTACTTGTTTAACTTATACCTTGTGAGCACTTCAAGACATCCACTTCTCTTGCCAACTGTATGAGTCTTCAGCAAGGGGGAGGGAGGGGAAACAGGAGGTAGATTGTTTAAAAAACAAAAAAGCACAAAGCACAAAGAAAAAGGAGAATTTACAAGGGTCTGCCTCTGCTACGAATGTACCTTTTTTTTTAATGACAGAAACCATTAGAAAAGGAAGAAGAAAAAAGAAAATTTGACCAGAAAAGATCACTTACCAGTTTTGAAGAGGTATTTCAAACAGTGCTGTGTACTTCCTTTTCTGCATTGTCTTTCAGTTATTGACAGTGAAATATGTGCCCCTATTCTGTAGTTGTCACCATGTTTTGTTGCTGCAAGTGCCCATTCACTCCAGTGTTACAAGATTAGGCCCCTGCCAATACTGTTAATCACACAGTTCTGAGAGACTGTGACCAAACTTCAACCACATTGAGCTCCAGGAAAGAGGCTTATACTTTTTTTCTACTTCATATCATAAGCACACCACAGTTTTACAGCTCCATCCATCCCAGTAGGAACCGAGAATGCGTACTGTAGTGATGAGTATTTCCAAATCACAATGACCAAAAGGAAAAATCGAGGCTTTCAAGCTCTTATAGGATTTGGGAGAGGGTTGCTGTTATGTCCTGATTCCATATTAAGAGGACCACCCAATGTTTCCAGGGGGACATAGAGTCTCTACAGAACTGTATACTGTACCTCCATTCTCATATGCATTTCTTATTCCCAGCTCCAAGTAGTTCTTGCCAGATGTTCTTAGAGCTCTTTTTCACAGTGTTTGTTCTGAGGACCTTCCTGTAGGCAGAACTAGGTATTTAGTTCTTATTATACTTTTATATTATCATAGTATAATATATTCTATATTCTATAGTACGTATTTTTGAGTAAAAGTAGATCACAAAGTGATCTTCCAGTACTAGCTCTGCAAGAGGCACTGCACTGCAACAGATTCATTTTATTCTACATTAAAAAAAAGAAAAAATAAATAAATACTTTCCAAGGTTCAACAATTTTTCTTCACCTTTTGGCGATCTTAGTGTCATTTTCAAGCTTGATCAGTGATAAGACTATTGTGAAAAGGTCAAACAAAACAGGGATTCAGTATCACTGACCTGGCTTTCTCTGACAGCAGACTGATTTAATGCAGATAGGTTGCTCTATTAACATAAGGCATAAAATAAGTCCTGTCACTGAGAAGCTGCATTAATGATTTATGTCTTGCATCACAATACATATGCATAAGATAGAGGGTTGCTATGACAATTGATGAACATTAATAGCTTGGATTTAAAAGACCTTAACCAAACCTGATTTGCATCTACTTCAATCACATCCACTCGTACAGACTAGAAGCAAGGCCATACAGCATCATCAGTGCACTCACTCACATGCGAACTGCACTGACCTTTGCAGCTTTGGGTGCTGTATCTATAAGCTACTACATGGTGGCGGTTTTGAGGCTTTTCAGTTCTTGGTAGGGCTACCCAAACTGTTTTTTGGCTGCTGCACTACTGAGCTCAGTAGCCCCCTAAAAGCACGGTATATCAGTTCATAGCCTATTTAGTGGTATCTAAAGCTAAAGTGATAAGCAGATTAAACAGCTTACTGAAAACAGGCTCTCCATCCCTCTAGGCTTGTTCTTTTAACTCACCCATTATTTTAGCTCTGTGTTCTCACCTGTGCATCCTACTAGCTCAGCTCACTAATGCAGCAGAAAGCTCCCTCTGTCTTCCTTGATTTTTTCCCAGTTTTTGCCAAAGTAGTAATTTAAACTTGTTTATGACCTGGTCTAATGGTTGTGCTCTAATGAGTATTTCAATCAGCACAAGGTAAAACACAACAGTAATTACTGACAGAGAAGATGAGCCCTTTAACCAATACTGCAGCCTCTCACCTGAAATAGATGGCATCTGAGCATTATTAACTACTTCATAACGATATGGTATAGCAATATATGTATCTTACTATGTCTGTCAATATGCTAAAAGATAAAAGTGATGCTACAGAAGAAGTCACATGAGAAAATTCAGCTCAGCAGTAAATTCTGATATCCTCCAAAATTAACATGAACTTCAGACAGCTAAAAAATAAGGACCTGAATTTGGAGTGGTAGTAATTTTGGAATTAAGTTCTAAGTATTAATGTCATAGAAAACACCTTGCTGCAGGGGAGCAGCAAGATGTGATTCATTTTCAGTCCAATAGCAAAGACAATATTTAAATTTATTACAACTCTTCACTGATTGAAAATGGGATAAACAGTTGTTTTGTCTCACTGTTTAAATTAGTCATTTGCATTAACTCAGCTGCAGCTGAATATGGGTAATTCAAGTTCAGAAAGATTTCCAAGATGGATTATGTGTAACAGATGATATGGTGACTTTCACTCCACATAGGGTAATGAACTTCAAGAAGCCACCCTAGGAAGCCAACAGAAAGCCTACTCCTATGTTCTTTATTTTTGTTTTGGTTTGGGGGGAGATGAGGTTAAGTAATTTTACTGAAAGCAAGGAGAGACTTTTTCATCTGCTTGAGCAAACTCGCAGGAATTAGTAGAGAACAGAAAAAATGTGTTAGATCATCCTAGGCTACTGGCTTCATTGCTTAATAGGAAGAAAATGCTGGTTATTCTGCTTGATAGGGAAAGGAGTCACAGCTATATCCCAACCAAGAGAAGGACATTTGAGTGCTGACAGGGAAAGACGAATTGCTGTAGAAGAAAGTCGGCAAACTCCTGTTTCTTGGGACTATATATATATTTATATGTATATATCTTTCATCAAGCAGAAATCCCAAGAGCCCAATGAATTACTATGAAAGATTTTATTCCAAGATAAATTAAGAGAATTACTTCATGAATTTGTATTTAGTCTCTTGAGTTTCATATTGATTCATTACTCAAGCTAAAAGTAAATTTTCAGAGGTATTTAGAAAATAGTTTAAAAACATAATACATCTATAACATTCTCCTATAAAACATCTACAGTTTTGCTTCTGATATTTTAATGAAATAAAACTATGGCATACATTCCATTTTTCCAACATGCTCACCATCATGCATAATTATTCTTGAATGTTTACCATAATAACTAAATTCAGTAAAGAAAGACAAATGCCAACAGGAATGATTGCTGACCTATGCGGGCTGCATAACCTACTTTCAAGTGGCTCGATTTTATTTATTCTACAAAAGTTTCCAAAAGTAAATATGAGATCTAGGTTTCTTATGATGGAAGGTAGGGCATGATTTTGTAAAGCAGGTCTCTGGCAATAGACTTTGATTTCTCAAGCATTGTATCCCAGCGCTAACATACATTTAAACCAAAGGAAAATGCTGCACAGCAGATGCTTTTGAAAACTCAATAGCATATTCTGGTGTATGAGAACAAACTTGTTCTTAAAACAGTAAAAATGAGCAATATCCCATTGGATTTTGATGAGATTTGTACTTTATACTCCTCAAATGCTGGAATGTTTCTCAAATTCTTCCTCAAAAGAGGAATGTCTGTTTCTGAAGTTCTGTCTTAGCAACATCTGGCATGAAACCTTCTGTGAGAGACTTCTGGAGATCACTAGCTGCTTAATCAGCTATAAAATGTTTTGCACTGGCAAAATATGCTTCCCATCTAGGGCTGCACCAGTACTAATGAAAGTGATCTAACTTGAATTTTCAAGTTGTCCTCAGATTGCTATGGGACGTGTAAGGAACACCATGCAGAGTGCAAAGTAAACCATAGCCAAGCAGACGTATCTGCACAAGCTATGAAATCCAAAGCTATACAGCCATTTCAAATATCATGAAAAGTCCAGGATGATTTTTTTCTGAGTGTGATGCAAACTAGACAGTATAGCAGTGCACCTATGTGACCACTTCTTCTGGAAACTAAGTTGAGATCTCTGTATTGCACCACCTCTTAGCATGGAAATTAGCTTAGCATTAGTTTATCTGGTGATAGGTTAGACAAGACTCTGTGGTACTTCACCAACCTGCTTAGACATACCCAGTCCACCATATCCAAAGGCAAGGAAGGGGTTTTCATCAAGGACCTATATGCAGCAATGTATGTTTATGCTACTTACAAAAATCTTCAATCCCTTCATGTATATTTCTTATTAAATTTTAAGATGTATTCTTAGTAATTTTTGGTGTATTACTTTTAACCAACCAACTACTTGCCAACAAGTGAAGATCAGAGTATACAAAAATTTTAAGGATTACTTACACCTATATTCAGAACATAGCAAAAGTGACATTTGAAGGATAAGGAAAATCTGATGATGTACTGTAGTGTGTTTTTTTTAAATGTCCCATCATTTTATGGCCTAATACAGCAAGATTTCTTATTTGTATCAGGTTGAAGCTGAATGGCTTTCTCTTTCACTTTATCTTCATGTTCCATTAAAATCCTGAAGCAAAGGAATAAAAAATTGTTAAGAGAAAACATCAGTAATATTCATAAGAGATCAAAAAAGAACCATCTCCTCCACACCCATAGAATAGTGCGGAGATTAACAGAAAATGGCAGAATTTTGTGATCTAATAAAATAGCAAAACCAAAGCAAAATAATAGTGACTCCATCACAAAACACATTTTCATTCAATTGGAAAAATGTTGATGGTGTTGTTTATTAGCATCATTACTAGCATTATTCTGCATTTCAGAGAATAAAAACAGTGACTTTCATTTCTTATTTCTGAGGCTTGAGCAACTCCCTCATCCCTCCACCCCTCATGCATATCTAGGTATTTAGACATTTGTCAATTCTCTGACAGATTCCAAAAATGTCACCAACAACATTAAAGATCTGCCCTTTCATTACCAGTATTTTCACCAGTTAAAGGATTTCAAGGGAGAGAGATTTACTGGTATTTTTATCCCTTATCTTGATGTAGTTTTGAAAATCCTCCATTCCCTCTCTCCCAGACCCAAAGCAGACAACTAAATTTGAGCTGTCATGAGCAAAGTAAAGAAGGATGCACATCCAGTGCTCTGCTGAAAGGACTCATCGGCATCCATATCCAAACATGTTTCTCCAAATCTCCAAGGCCTTCCTGCAAGAACAATTAGGTCCTCCCTACACACCTTTCCTAGCATCAGTTCAGGTCATTCTAGATCCATGCAGAGTGTCACCATCTTCCATGAATCTCTCTGTGGACTTGAGAGTTGCAGCAACTTGATATGGACCCATTTAAAAGGAATAAAATAATTCTCACCTTAAGTTCCTGTGAAACTATTTTAACAAACAGAAATAATTCTATCATCAATGACAGGGATCAGTCAGGTATATTTATAGCTTGCACATTTTTTCTTCTTACCTCGCTAAGTGAAGAATGGACTTTTTGGTATTGTGCCCAGAACATGCACTGCATTCATAGAAAATTAAATTGTAATCCTAGGATAAAACAGAAAGTCTGTTTCAATTAGTTTTGCACAGCTTCTCATGCCAGTTCTAAAAAAAAGCAAGACATACACTGAAATATATAAATGAAGAAAAACAAGCAGAAATAGGCCATTCTATCCAACCAGCTGTATGAAAAGATGAGACTATATTTTGTAGTTGACTGAAAATAGTAATAAAATAAAGTAAGACCCAACGTAACCCCAAAAGAGCAACCATATGCATTTATCAGATGATATTTGTTCTATATAGTGGCTTTCCTCTCTGATAAATTGATCTCTCAAAAGCTCAAATGTAAACATGTCTTAGAGTGTGCTGAATTTAGTGAACTTTCTTTGTGATGATGAGGCAATTCACTGAGCGTGTGTCAGAGAAGGTAAAAAAAAAAAAATCTCGTGATCTATTTTTCCTTTTTTTCTTTAATCTTGGAAAGGTTCAGCAGAAATGCTCTGTATTCAGCGGTCTGAAACCAATGCTTTCCAGCAGTCAAAAGGAATGTTAACATTTTCAAGAAAAATAACATTTTTTTTTCTTTTGTCCTTGTGACATTCTGGTGTATCTTCTTCCCAACCCCAAACAGTCTGCACCGTTGGTTTAGTAATCCCTGGGAACTTTGCAATCAAGTATGATGATTAAATGATCACACCTTCCAGACAGGCACAGCACACATCCATAACTTGAATATTTCTTAGCAATAGAGTTTCAGATGCTTGCTATCGGGTCAGTTTTGTTTTGCATGTGAACATTTTTTGTCAGAGCTTTTTCTTCCTGCAAAGTTAATACTGCAAAATTCTCATTACCATCATGATGTTTATTCTTATATTCCCCCAACTGCCAACCAGTTTCAGGAGGATCTTCTTTTCCTTCTGATACTTTCCAGAATTACCATCCTCATACTACTCCTCTTTTCTTGGAGTATCACACTGCAACTACCAGTCTTCAGGCTGCTCTGCTTCATTTTAATAAAGAACTGTGCTGCCTGCCATGCCCCACAAGCTTAATGATATGTGCCTTAATAATGGGAGCCCCTGCGTTTCTTCCTGAATCTTAAAGTACACCAACTTCTAAGATCTGAGACTGAAGCAAAGCAAGAGTTACAACAGCTGGGCTGAAGCATCCTCTGGAAGAACTTATTTTGCTAACCACAGGAAAGGAACTAACTAAAATCAATCCCATCCTGTGTGAGCTAATATCCATGAAACAGTCCACAAATACTGTTGGACTTCTGGGCTGACTGAGTGACCTGATTCCCTTTTCTGTACAGGGTCCTTTTAGCATAGGATGACTATGCAGGTGACTATCAGCTCAGCATCTAGTCAAGTGTATTTTGGGCCACTTACAAGTAATTCATGAGATTATTCACAAAATAAGCAACTCAACTGCATTTTCCAGTAGAGACATTAGTAAGTAGTTTCATAGGAATTTAACAAGAATTAAGATTTCATTAAAATAAAAGGTTATTATAAGCTCAACAAGCAAATCGTTACAATTCAATTATTTCTGAGCTGCTTTTCAACTAGCCAGTGGTCACCAGGTATTCCTTCCCTTAAGTCCTGTGAGCACAATTAAACATTCAAATGTCATTCACGTCATTCTTTTTTTTCTTTTTAGACTGCTTTGATGGTAAACCATCATTAAAAGATTTTAAGCAGAGATTTTATTCATTTCAGCATTATCTTTTTTTCATTTTCATTATTTTTTCATCTTTCATTTTACTTATTTAAAATATTTTTTCTTGCATAACAAGTTAGAATTAATGGCCTAGTGGGGTGTGAGATCTGCAAATCAGGCAGAATGATTAAATTTTGTTTTGCCAGTGCAAATTTTGAAGAGAGCTAAATGACATGTAAGACACCCACTCAGTCCATTTATGGTTTATGAGTCAGTTGCATTTTCAAAGAAGGATTCAGTGTTACACATCCTACTCCTACCTAGCAAGAATCCTCCAGGACATGAAATTCCACTGCATTTCAATGCTTACAAGAAAACCAGACAGACTTCTTAAAGGAAGAACCTTTGAGGGATAAAAAAGATGATATTGCCCTCAGATAAAAAATAAATAATGGTCACAAACCTGAATGTGGAAGTATGCTTGTATACAAGACAGTGTGAATATTCAAAACAGTTTTTTTTTTTTTTTAAAAAAAAAAGGGCGGGTCGGGGGTGGTCCATTTATACTGAGGTATTCAATAGTAATCTTTCCTATAAACTGAGAACAGTTTAACTGCATTTCTAATTACTTTCCCTTCACTTACCTTCCGTTTGTTGCAGTATACCTTCTAGTGACAGACAAGTAAGTACATGTGAGAAATGCAACACCTACTTTAATTCAACTACACTTCTACCCACCTTAGCTCACTTCTCATGAACACTAGGTTGACTTATTCTAAATAAATGAATAATTTGGAGTCACTGCTGTTCGTATTATATGCATTATAGAGAGAGATTCAGAAGAAAAAAAAATGATAAACATCATATGCAGGAATGTAAATAGGCTATATGCAGTCCTTTGGCTCTTAAACTATGGCCCATAGATATTTTCAGTGCTCTGGCAAATACTAGCTCTATTTACTTTGTCTCTCTACATGATGAAAAGATGCTAAAAATAAACAAACTTTCTACTCCCACACTACTGTGGCCTTAAAGGGGGTGGGATGCAGAAAATGTCCTGAAATTATCTCACTCTCAAGAATCAATACAAAGAAGAAAGAGAGAGACAAAAAAGGAGAGAGAGATAAAAAGAGAAATGAGAGTGAAAGAATGCAAAAAGGAAGAGAGAAAGAAAGTGAGAGAAAAAGAGAGAGGGAAGAATGAATTTTTGGCACCACTCACCTTTTAATTTTTGTCTTTAGACCACTTCATAACCACCTAATACCACTGTTTACACCACTGAGAGATAGACTGATGAATAGCAAGATTCCTCACCTTTAAAATATTTGTCTGATTAAAAAGAATTTGTTTTTCTAAAAATGTAGACACATTCAGACTCAAATCAAGAACCTTCACCTTCAAGTTCTATAAGAGTTCCATTCTGAGTACTGTACCATAGCTAAATGCTCTCCCATTCCATTGGGGACTTCTCGTTCCTTTTCATTATCTGTTTTATTACCCAATAAAAGGACAGGTACATTCTCCCCAGCTGCCTCCTGCAAATCAAAGAGTAAGTATCAGCTGAGGCATTTTCTTTAAAAAAAATACACATCAAGAGAATAAACAAACAAATGTCATGGCGCAACATGAAATTTAAGACATATGAGCCAGGTAAGAGCCACTTTTCTTAGGAACATATCAGGCATTCAAGCTGGACTGAAGAAGACAGATTCTCCTGGAGCATGAGATAAAGTGCTCAGAATTTACAATTAATGGTCCAGCACAGCAGACATTCAGGTTTCATATTAAAAATAGAGAGAGAACAAAAATATGATACTCCACAGGCTCTGACAATGTTCACATATAGCCACTGATTTTCTAATTACATAGACAGGACAATAATAATGACGTATAGGACAACTATACCAAATAAATTACATAAGATAGGTAGAGAGAAAAAAATACACATAATAGGAACAAATATAAATTAATTCTGAACATGGTTAGAATTATTACTACCTAAAACATCACAATAAAGTGGGATGGATGGCAAAGCAGTAAATGGATTCCATCCATAAAGATGAGTGAACTATTCCAGCTTGGAATAAAATACTAAGGTTTTGATCACAGCATTATTCTTCATCAAAAATTTGAATTTTGATTTGAATTCTCCTCTTGGTTTTACCATGATAAATTAGCTTATGATTTGTTTTAATCTTAATCAATCTGCATCACATGCATCATACTACTTTTATTTCGATGGAGATACTCAGAGGTGGAAAGCTATGCCCATTAGGAAAGAGTTGAATGACAGACCTAATTTCAACCTGCCAAGCCACCTAGTGTTCAGACCATGATTCTTTTAAAGTGTTTAAAAAGATGATCTCTATCAATTACGCCGAAAAAGTGAGTTCTCTGCCCTGAGCCAGTTTTATAGCACAGCATGTGGATATTACAGGCTTGTCTTCATTCAGGTTCCTGTGAGCCAAATATTTGGTTGCCAAACTGTTACTTACCAATGGTATCTGTGATTCAAAGCACCTCCCAGCGTTAGCAATGAAACAAGCGGAGTCCTCAGCTATATAACCTTCATGAGAAATCAGATGACTCCATACTGGGCTTCCTCCCCCAGCTCCCATTTTATGTTCGGTAGAAGGAAAGCCAGGAGCACTTGAACTGACTCAGTAATCAGTGGCCATTGGAGATATTTACTCCTTAAAAACTGAGAATTGCTACCACAAGAAACATGCTGCCTTCTCTGCTTTGCACCAGCTAACATTCCTTATCTGGAAAAATGTAGAGACTAGTGACACAGTAGTTTAGACTTAAAGCTATGCCACGTTACCTCAATGCTCACAAGCCACTGCTTCACAGCTGTGAATGTGTCTTTTGCTGTTATATCATACATCACAATGACACCATCAGCTTTTCGGAAAAACTGCTTGGTAATACTGCGGTACCTGCAAGGAAGAATCTGTTTATAACTAGCCAAGACAAGCAGTAATGTGACAATGTAATTCCTCTCTGCTAGACAGGAGCTGGCAGGGGCTAGAACCCGCCAGATCTCCTCAAGAGCCAAATGCAGACATCTTGTGCGTTTATCCCTCTCTTGGCCCAGTTTAGGCCACAGCTATATAGGCGGGTATAAATATGTATCTTCCTAAGTAATGGCCCCAAATTTTGCCACTACTTAATTGCTTACACTTTAAATCCATAGGCTATTCATACAACTATTAAAATGCAGTTACATTGGAAGCCAGCAAAACACACATGTAAAAAAGAATGGAGAATGTTGCTCTGCAGTTACAACATTCTAATCTTTGTAAGAGTTAAATATGTTTTTATTTTGCTTATATATTAATTCTATAATTCCATAAACTAGATGATCTTCACTGCAGAACTTGTTTTAAAGCAGAGGCAGATTATAAATTGTGGCAAGCAATCCCATTCTTCCGGTGTCAGGAGCTCCCTTTTCACATTCAGCAGAACGCTGAAGGATGATGCTTTTACTACCAGTGACTGCAACAGCAAATAAATTCTTTGCAAAAAAAAAAATATTTTTGGAAAGAATGTTTGGAAAAAATTCATCTGCCTTGTCATATTTTGTTTGGATTACTCCCAAAAATCTGTTGCATATTTCACCTTCTCTCATCCTCCTTCATTTTTAGTTTAGAAATCACAGCAGAAATTTCTCTCTCACAAAGAGCTCTGACTAAAGTTTAGATTTCTAGGGGCTTTTTAGCACATTATAGATGCCATAGAAGGTTCTATATGTACTGTGATTTAATTGGCTCTGTTAAGAATTTTCTTATCTTTGTTCCTCTCCTAAGAAACAGGATGCTAATCTTTAAATAGATTTTTCAAGCATATAAAACCTTAGAAAGTTTTTCTCACCGTTCCTGGCCAGCAGTGTCCCAGAGTTGCAGGGTTACATGGCTATTATCTACTGTGACTGTTTTCACACTGTAATCCACTCCTATAACAGAAATACAAGGTAAGTTGTCTCCTTATACACTCAGTTAGAACTTTGAAATCCCAATCCAGCAAATGACAACGATTCCACCCGAGTAACAATCTCACATAGACATTTCACGTAGACGTTACATTTTGTAAGAGGCAAAAATTATGCCTCTAACAGAAAGATGCAAATTTCTATATCTCTCCCTCTCTCTTTCTCTCTCTCTCTAGTCTCTAAGACATTAGGACTTTTTTCTTGCCAAAAGATCTTCAGTAATAAAATACTGAATGGTAACAGAGTAACTGAATTTTGAAAAAGCTATTAGATAAATAACTTTTCAAAGCAGGGATCACGATTCAAGAGCCCATCTGAAGAGACCATCAAGAGCCTATGGCAGTCTAAGCCATTCAGTCTGAAATTGATGCTTTATAACTTCAGCTATCTGAAAGTTCAGCATTTTGTCTGAACCAACCATGTAGGCACTTTCTACAGCCAGTAGAAAAAGCACAAGGCATCACACTAAGGGAACAGCAGAACCGAAGATGAATGCTGAAAATGAAAGAACTGAATAGCTGAAGAACTTCCTCCCTGCTAGGGCATAAAGGAGATGAGCAGCCTATAAGCTAGGCTAGTACCTTAACTTCTACGTAGCTAAACAGAAGTGAGGCAAAGATAAATTTATCAATGTTTTTAAATGAATCATCTCCCAATTCTCTCCATCAGGGATGATATAAGCATCTTCTGGATATTTATAACAAAAATGAGTCTTAAACAGTAATCAATCACCCTCCCCTCTTGCAATCTATTGAACTACACTATACTGTATCATAGAATCACAGAATCATAGAATTATTCAGGTTGGAAGAGATGTCAGGGTCTCATCTCATCTATCATTCCTTCAAGGTCTTCTTCCACATCCATGCAATTTACCACTGGCATTAATGTAGAAGAATCCAAGCCTGAATTCTTTCAATGGGTAATCAAGAAATATGGATGGATGATATATTCACTGCCTGTATCTCAAGGGAAGGAATTTGGGCTATTCTATTCCTAAAAAATTCAGGAATATTCTCTTCTCCATTCACATTGTTCACATTGCTTTTGAACTGTATGTCTTGCCAACCATAGGGCTTGTAGAGCCCATAGATGCGAAGGCTGAATCAAAGTTATGACAAATACTTTCTTGTCATTATTGGATGGCAGCTAAAAATCAAAAGATCAGACTCATTCCTATGCTTTTCTTCTGGAAGCTCCAGGCAATAACTCACAATTTATAAGATGTCAGAGACATGGAAATCCTGCCACCATTCAACAAGTTAACATGGACAGAAGATAGCACCAGATGAAGGCTCTTTTAGGCTTTGGCGTCTCAGTTCCCGTTATATTGGAGCTTCAGTCAATGAAGAACTACAAGTCTAGGAAATTATTAAGCTTACAGTGAAGCACCAAGGTGTCTGGTCATGTAAATTGACTCTCTTAGGTCTTTTGACTGGAATGATGAGCATGTCAGGGGACCTTACAGCAGCTGGCCACACCTGGGTGTTCTTAGATATACACTAATTTAAACACCTTTTATTATGAACAAATAAGTTTTATTTCACATCTGCTAGAGATCAAGCATACAAACTAAATAACATCCATCTGATTATTTACAGTAATTCAGCTGCCTTGCAAAAATCTGTTTGTTTTTTGAACCTTAATTACAAGTCTAACTTCTAAAAGCTTGGCTTACAACTTTGGGCAATACAAGTACAATGTAGCTGCTAGTTTGTGCGAACACTAGCATACGTCTTTCTTGCTTCTTATGTGCTAAATTTTTAAACATAATTCAGATAGACTAGTTTCTCTTTTAAAACAAAATCAAATTCGTTGGAGGGGTGGAGATGAGATGGTACAGTATATGCAGTCTACTGAACAGGGTATTAGTTTCAGAACAAAGAGATTTATACGGAAACTGCACTTCAATGCAATCAATAGGGTTTTCTGATTGACTTCAATGACAGGATTTCACTATGAAGGCTAACTTGAATGCTCTCCGTCAATAATCTGCTTCCTGATTTAGCAGAGTTCTCTTTGCATGTCCTCCTCCACTTTTGGGTAAAGGATCTGTGCGTTTGTGTTTTACAAGACAGACTCAATATCATTAGAAGCTACTAAGTACTGCTGGAGGAATAATAATATTTGTAATGTTTCTTAAACTTACCCACAGTAGCAGCTGTGCCTGGGAAAAAACGATCTTCACAGAATCGCCTTAAGAATGAAGTCTTTCCAACACTTGAATTGCCAACTAAAATAATCTTGAACAAGTGGTCTGGGACAGAGTTTATTCTCTCCTCCTTCAAATAAGAGTAAACATTAGTCTTCAACTGCTCTCACTCTAAATTCCATTGCCTTCCGATTTGCCTTGTTTTTAAGGCTGAGTTGGGAAAAAAAACAAGATTTTATCACATCATGTTCTCTACTGCTGATATAGCAGAATTCTGCTTCCTGAAATAACTCAGGATTTCAGATGATTCCCATACAGCATTCCAGATCATTTGAAGTTGAGTACTGACATCTGCAGGTATACTGAATATGAACTTTGACTGAAACAGCATTGAGAAGGCATAAACCTAATCAAAACAACTTGTTTTCATCCCTGGAAATCAAAACCAGATTCATATAGCTGTGGTCAGTGGTTTCCATCCTATATCAAAGACATAGTAGAAACAGCACATCTTTATCCAGAAAACAGAAACAAAACCATAACTTTGGTTTATGCCATCTATCATCAGTTTCTCCTCCCTCCTCTACTACTGTAGCATTAGGAGTTTCTGTGCTACCCCACATCTATGTTCATTTAAAATCAGAGGTCAGGGAGAGAGGGGACAAGTAGGGGAAGGAGGAAAAGGATGGGGAAGACGGAAAGTTAAGTGCAGTTAACGAGGCTGTTAATATTCAGCTAAGTTTTTGCCATTTGTTTTTTCAAGTAGGAAGAACAACAATTTGTCCAGCCTATCCGCGTTTTGTTTACTGCAAGTAGATAATGGAGAGAATATAGATGCCAATGGCCAAGCAGGCCATTACTCCCAAATTCATTCTCTTCATATCCAGAATGGCTTGCTTCGGGAAGAACAAAGTAGCAACAGCAGTTGTGGGGTACCTCAGCTGTTGTAGTGTGTTAAAGGGGGAAGGAAGTGTGCAACGAATTATGCCCTGAAAGCCACAGAAAGGGCAGCATGATGTGGATGCCCCTTTATTTGGGGAAAGCGAGGAACAGAAGAGGAAAAGGGAGGGAAGGAAAGGAAGGAATCTCTATCAGGCATTTGCGGCACAGGATCCCTGAGACTGTTGAGCTCAAGTAGGCATCAGTACTATCAGTACTGATGTACATCAAGTAGGCAACTGTACTCTCTGCCTCACAGTTCCTTGAACATGACATAGATATCTGGCCTTGCAAATGTTTTGTACAAATATACTGCAGCGTTACAGGAAAGAGCAAAAAGCACAGAACTACTCTTGAAGGAGGAAAAGAAAAGAAAAGAAAAGAAAAGAAAAGAAAAGAAAAGAAAAGAAAAGAAAAGAAAAGAAAAGAAAAGAAAAGAAAAGAAAAGAAAAGAAAAGAAAAGAAAAGAAAAGAAAAGAAAAGAAAAGAAAAAGGCAGATAGAGCTGCTGTCTTCCTTAATATGAAGACCATTCACTACTGCAAGTTTTGAGGGCCCAAATATGTGCACATCTCTTTTGTGGACCAGCCCCTTGTTATAACTCCATAGAGTTCTCACCTCTAGACTGGAAGACTAAAAGACTGGTCGAAATATGCCCCTCAGACTCCTCATAACTCACAATGCAGGAAGAGTAGGGATTTTTTTTTCAGAAATTTTCATCAGCTTCAGTTGAGGCCTCTATGTAGAATTGCCATGGGAACACTTATCAATTGCATACCACTCCTTCTAGCCCTGCCTTCCCCTCTCTGACAAGGAAGGAAATCAATGCAGTAGCACTGGACTGAACAAGATCACTGCACACCTAAATTCAACCTGGTCAGTAGGCCAAAAGGATCATGCAGAGAAGCATATAGTTCATCCTTATATGGACAGAGCTTATCTGAAAGGAGTGTGCGTGTGTCTTTTTTAATTTTTTGTTTTCCCAAATGAAATGCAAAAAAGTAATCTAAGAAATCACCCAAACTAAGGGTTACGCCAACTCATTAGGGTTGACATTTCCTAGAAAACGAAAATGGAATGCAATTACTTTTGGAATTTTACCTTCTTAATGGTTGTTTAAAACTGAAATGAATCATTTTCATTAAGCAAACAAGAAACATTTTCCTGATTTCTTCTCCCCCCTCTCACCTTGTTTTCACTTGTTTTTTGGGGGAAAAAAAAAAAAAAAACATAAAGAGGATCTGAAGGAAGGTCCAGACTCTACCCAGCTGAGAGTATGTGCTTTCAAAGAACATTACTACTTAAGCTCATCAGGCAGGGCAGGCTGGTCCTAGCTCGACTTGATGACCTAACCTGGCTTCTGCGGCCACTAAATCCCATTACATCATGCTTTGAAAGCACAATACAGTAAATAAGAAGTACATATTAAACTAAAATCTTTCAAAGAATGCAAACAGTGCCTAATGATTTCAACAAGAGTCAAGCATATGCAGTCATAGAGAGTAAATTCATTGTTACTATTATCCACCCTTATAACAACAGTTGGAAAGTCTAGAAAAGCCTAAGATTGCCAATTTCCTTACTGCAGGGCAAAAGAGAGTTTCTGCCCCAGAGATTGTACAGTCTTATTCAACTGAGCGGAAGATAAACCCGATGGACACATTTGCCCACAACACATCACAGAAGGAGGAAAAAGCGTATTTTTCTCCACCACCTCCAAATCTCCTGTCGAGTAGACAACTCCTTTTCTCTAAAAAGATTAATGCTCCTCTAGTCACAGGACGCAGAAATTTCAGTAAGGAACTAAGCTATGTCAACATTTCAAGTTTCTGGCTAAGAAAACATAATAGATTTTCTAGTTATTATCTAATGTCATAATGATAAGCACATTCTCTAAATCAAAATCTCTAAATCTAATAGCTTGATCATTACTTGTTTTCAAGGAGATTATAGTGTCAAGATCTCTTCCCATTAATAAAGTAGTAATTCAGTTCTGTAGCTATTTGCTGAGAAGGGTCCGTCTGACATTAAGTGGAGGGCAATGCAGACATTCAGAGTAAGTTATACACTACAAATCATCTTGCTATTTTTGACAACAGATCTAAGTTCCTTGTGGTTATATAACACTAACATTTTGTTTTACAGTACATATTTATGTCAAAAGACTTTAGCAAACTATTCTTTTTAAAAATGTAAAGCTTGTGCTGTGCATTAGACCTTTTTATATTAAGATGTACCACTTAGAACTTATTATGCAACCATGGTACAATTTTACTATCATTTTTTAGATATGCTTGCTTCTTCTAAGAGAACTATATAATTACAACCAAGTATACCTATTTTTTTTTTGCTATACCTTAATCTTTTTAATGTATACTTCAAGAATACAACAATGGATAATACTTAATAACAATACTAAAATTAGATCACAAGCACAGCTTGTTCTGAAGCAGTGCAAAAAAATTATACTACAAAGAAATGTACATTCCTGATTTTTTTTTTTATAGATCATTACTGCTTGGGGAATTCATTGTTAACATTCATGTAAAAGCTACAGCTAAAAAAAATCTAGGATTTCAATTTGCCAGTTAAAGTCTTCTCTGATGTTGACTAAAAAGTAGAATATTTTGCCTTGTTTTTCCCCCCCAATAAATCTACCTAAGTTTCCAGCTACCAAAGCTGACTCAAAATTATCATATTATAACAAATATCACTTTTTGGAAAAAAAAAATCCACTTAAATAATTCAAGGAGAGAAACACTTCTTTTCTCAGACAATTGCTACCCTTCAGTGGATCTTCTATTATATCCCACTGTTACAAGACATAACTACATGAAATAGTCATTTAGAATCTACTGTCTAATCCTCAAAAAAATCTTTCCAGAAATGAGTTATTTTAATGACTCTTGCTTTTACAATCATAAAAGACATAAGCCCATATACACATTGTCTGCCGCTACCATTTTCTTAGGCTGACCTTCTCTTCCTTGTGCTTTCAAAATTTTTCTGGAATACATTTCCATCTCCCTGTTCATGCAGATCAGTGGCCTAATTTGTTAGAATTTTGCTTACAAACAGAAAATAAAATGATTCTAGTTTCTGAGAATAACACATTAAAGTATCCCCTTCAACACCTTTTCACATTTTCTGAAGTCCTTTGTCCCCTTACATTTGACAGTGATTCCTTCCCTACTGGTTGCTCTCTGGAAGATGACGGTGTATGTTCCACAGATTGTTCTATGTTTCTCTTATCTATTTCCTTCTCAGAAGGAGTATTCCCATCTTTTCCAGTGCATTTGTCCAGCTGTGTATCCACTGGCCTCTCAAGAAGCTGAGGCAGATGATCTTCCTCAATTGATATTAATCTTTGGAGATGTGATGCTTTAGACGATCCTCCAGTAACTCCAGCATCAGGCTCTACAGAGAGAAATCCATTCAGCCCAACAGACCCCCTTCTCTTTACTGAGTTACTGAAGACATCATCTTCTTCAAATGATGGGCTGGACAGAGATAAAAAATAAGTACATCACATAACTATATGAGACCTGGATTCCTATTATTTTATTCTAATGTAATAGAATTTCACCTCCTATGTTTTAACTACTTAAGACGTTAAACAGAGATGATTTAGAAAAGTGCCTATTGAAAAGCCAGCTCATTGTACTAGGTATATGTACATAGAGTGCTTTAGGAGAATAAGCACCATGGGGAAAGCTGATAATATATAAAGAAACCTGGATCAGAATTTAAAAAAAAAAAAAAAGACTGTCCCATATCAACAAAACTGTCCCATGTCAATAAAGCATTTCATGTTCCCGTGTCTGCAGGGACATTGCCTTGGCCTCTGTTTCCAACTGCTACCATAGTTCTCTTTGCAGTTCCTTTCACCTCAAAAGATGCATTAGTATGTCACTGCAATTTCCATCTTGTCCCTGTTATTTCAATTTTACAACCACACAGCTGAGAATTAAACTCTCCATATCTTGCAAGTCTCACATTTTCACACCTTACTGCCTGACTGCTCTCTTCCAAGATAAGAGGTGAGGAGGTGTGCTCTTTCAGAAGAGATTACTAAGAGGATGGTACCACCTCAGTATTAGGTAATGAAGAACTTTTATAGCTTCTAGAATGTCTTCACCCACAGCTGCGGGAGCCTTTTGCCTTTGTAGACAGAACACTTGTTTTGTATGAAACTATGGACCTTTATTTGCTAAGTTCTTAAAACACATATTAATGTTACAGCTACAGGCACCTTAGAAATACAAGTTTTGATAAGTCCCAAGGCTTAGTGATATCAAAAAGAAATTGTAGTAAATTAAAGCATTCTACATCTCCTTTGCATAAGTCTTATAGTACGCAAATAGAGAACACTTGAAAAAATAAGCTCTTACCTGTTAGGCAACACCTTGCTCTCTATATATTTTCCAATGACAGACCCTGATCTTTGCTTCCAGCTGGCTTTTGGAACACCTTTTTTGCAATTCTGCAGAAACAGAGAATTCTTTTCACTAATTTTTTCCTGTTGTTCGTTATGGATGATTGCCTTTACTGCAAATGCTGAAATAACACAATGACTATGACAGAAAACATTATAGAAAAACAATGTTAAAAGCATAAATGTTTCAAAATCCTTATTAATAGACAATTGGAACATTGAAAACCCCAAATCCTGCAAGAATTAAACTTTGCAAACTAAGTGGACCACCATGAACAGCATAAATCAGCATAATGTTAGGAAAATAAATTAAATGATCTGTGGTGATTTACACTAGCATCTTCTTGTAGGAATAGGAGGCCTTAGTCTCCTTAAGCCATGGTAGTACTGGATCTTTTTTGGAGGCCATTTTCTGCTGCTGGACCAAATATTAAAAGGATCGCTTCTTAGCCAAAACAAACAGGCTTAACCAAAAACAGTATTTTCCAAAACACTTATTCAGGTACTCAGACATTACACTTCTATGTAAACGGAGACTGGTTACTTTTGACTGATTAACAAAGTTGAATTTTATTTATTTATTTGTTGTAGATTATCTCACTCCCTCATGACTGCATCCTCGTCTTCTTTTTCTGGTTATTATTAAGGTTCATCTCCCTTCAGATAGCTATAACTTTTTAATTCTAAAAATATAACTCCTCAAGCACTTTAGGCTCCATCTTTTGAGGATGTTCTGATCAGTGTTTGCTCAATACTGGGAATGGAAGTGATGGCTATTTACCAGTAAGAATATGTCACGTTCATCTCTGAGATGTTTGTTCCTCTCCCTGCAAGGACAAAACACAAATAAACGAAATAGTGGCACCAGGAACTTAGAACTCCCTGTCTTTTCTATTCCACATGAGGAGATAGACTAAAAAATTGACAATGGAAGAAGGCAATATCAATGCTTTTAATCTGGCGTATATACATCCTCAAACAGGCTTCTTTTGCATTCTCCTATCTGAGACAAAGCTTCAGTGGGGGTATGCTAATCAAAACCAGCTGGCATCTGGCCTCCAGTCTGCAGTTTATTAAAAGAAATGCCTTAACAAACAGAAACCTATTCTGCTCAACATGCCTTCGTTTACTCTAAATCAGAAGGTTTAAAGCTTTTTCACAGTAGTTTCATCTTAATGGAGAGAGGGTATAATGAACAGCCTGTCCAGCTGCCTAGTGACAGCTCTGGAAGTATTTATGTCCTTCTAAGGTCTACAGTCCTTGCCATCATAGAAAAGTCTTTCTAGGAAGCATCCATCTTCCATTCATTAAGTAGAATGGAACAGCTCTGATCAGATCTGACAACGCATCTGTTCAATGCATCACTTAGTGTCATCCTCTGTTGCTGACCTGACCGTAAAAGAGATTGAGGAGCCACTACAACCTTGATGAACAAAACCAAGCACTGCTGCTGTCAGCTTCTCCTAGCTGTGTCCCCGTTACCAGCAGCGGGGGAGATTGCATGATGGAGTGGTTTATCCAGACTCATTTGAGAAATACACTGCAAAGTATGAACCTATCTTCAAACTTTAGCATGGCAGTTTTTAGGTAACTTTTTAATAAGGCCTGTAAATGCAGGAAGTTGAAGGCCTACAGGCAACAACAGTCTACAGCCCAAGCAAACTTACTACAGAACAAACAAAAATTAACATTGTTGCACATTGAAAAGAATTACAGTTACCAAGAATGACAAATTTTAAGCCTATCAGTCCCAAAATGTTATAGAGAAAATTAGCTGGCCAGATTCTGATATAATTTTACAAATAAAATCCCTGGCAGTCTTTGTTTTGGCTGTGCTTTCATTACTTTAGAAATAACAGAACCTTTTAGCAAGCTTCAGTGATCCTGTAGCCAGGTTTCTGCCACTGAGCCAGCTTTGTACAGCTCACAGTTGTTGTTTTACACTTGACTTCTGGAACAGAAGCTATCCACAGTACCCAAATAACTCACCTTTACTTCCTTCTTCTGTATGCAAGAATTGGTCTGTGAAGGTGGAGATGACATAAGGACATAATGTCCATACTAACAGATCCTTTTTACTAGATTTTGTATCATCATCCCAACATCATTTAATCTATTGATGTACAGCTTCAATAGTAGTGATGTAAGAAATTCTTAAAAAGTAAGGTTCACCTTACCTTAAGAAATCAAGCTGCTTCATAAGTCCTGATTTCTCCCTCTGTAAGGTTTCTGTCACTTTGTACACCTCCCTGTAACAAAAGGCAATAAATCAATAAAACTATACTAACCATGGTACCAACATTGCTAAAATGTATCGTCCTAGGAGTACCCAAATTTCAGTCTTCGACTTCTCTAACCCTGTAACCTTCATTCTACATGAATGGCTGTCAATTTATAAAAAAGCTTATTGAGCAGAAAGCCCATGGGACCAGAGCAGTTTGAGTTAGCAGAGGAAGTTGTAGAAGCCCTTTTTTTTTAAGAATTAGAAGGATTAGGATTTCTTCATTCAGAGAACTGCATTCAAGCCAGAGAACATGTGCAACTGAAGTTCTCCCTACTCACGGCCACTATGAGATGCTTTATGTAAAATTAGTTTGTCTGGGACCATATTTCAGGTTCATATGTCTTCATTCCTATCCTAAACAGTTTTGCAACCTTAAACACTGGATCCATTTTCTCAGATCTATATCCTACATTTACACCATTTGTTTTGACTTAACAGAGCTTAGTGCTTGGATCTATATGCTTTCTGCCTTTCAGTGAAGCTCGAAGTACTTCCTGTGTACAGTCTGCACATTATAGCTGCTTCAGCAGCTCAGGTCTTATCAGACTAATACTGATGTTTGAACAACACTGCGGATGAGTAGGGCTGAGCTCTAATTCCATCAAACACTACTGAGTCCAATGTTTTGAACTGCATGAGTGTTATTCAGTCACTGGATTTCCCTTTGAAGGCCATCTTTAAAACCATATCGTCTTGCAGTCTTTGGTCTGAATCTGGAAAAGAGAGATCTTCAACATGGAAATAAACCACTGTAAAGAGGAATATTTCTGCTGTCTGCTTCAAAACTACAAGTCAAATAAGTGAAACTAAAAATAGTGTTCAAAACATGGTGCCAGATCTTTAACAACTATTTATTTTTATTGATGCCCTCAAGAAAGAGTAAATTAGTAATAGCTAAAAAGAATATGACATTTGATCCAATATTGTGATCTATACTGCAATTTGCTAATTAATTTGCTATATAGGCACAGCTCTGACATTAGGCAGTTTACCACAGAAATTTCTTGACTCCATCAAGATATGCAACACAGTTTGACATCCAATAGCTCTCCACTGGCAGAAATAGGTTTTTATATAACTTGAAGATCTTTTGAAAATGAGTTTCCATTAGACAGACTCCAGTGAATATATCTGCAAATTACATCTTCCTGCTAACATGATTTTTGCCTTGTGCAGAAGACCAGAGAGTAGATTGATCATCACTTAAAAGACATCTGTATGCCTCAAAATATCAACTCTAAATATTTCTTACTGCAAAATATTTTTGTAATTCAAAGACAGAAACTGAATTTCAAAATATTTAAACTGGAAATCCAAAGAAGATGGTTCAGGAATATGAGTGGGAGTTATGATTCAGCTGTAAAAGTGCCTTTTTATCTTGCTCTCCAGGCTCCTCGACCAGAAATTATGCACTAGCATTTCTTTTGATGAAGAAGTACATCACAGCTATCTCATAGCCACAGTACATTATGAGAAGTAACTCTTAGACAGACTTAACCTTGAAGAGTACAAGACATCATGTTCCACAACAGAAGCTTCTGCAGGGACTCTTACTGATATTTAAAAAAAAATAAAGCATTTTTCTTTATGCAATTTAACTGATTTTAATCCAAAATACCCCCAACAAATATTGTGTGGAAGAGAACATTAACATTTTGAGGAAGTAGCAAAAGATTCTGCAGAAACCAGACAGACTATAGAAAACACAGCAAATTATTTGGGTAGAAGCCACCAGAAATGCACTCGGCTTTGGTGGTTATATTTGAGGGTGTGATCCTTGCCCAGGCTCCAGTCTTGAAACCTGACTTTTCACACATAGCTCTTACTCAAACGCTAACCACCAGTGGCAATCACAATGTTTGCATCTTATTGCAGTGGCTGTGTCCCTGATATCTTCCCCTGTGCAGACAATAACCATCAATAACAGTCACAAGGGCTACGTTATGCTGGGAGACAGTCTGATGGTCTCTTGGGAGGCAGACAACAGCACAACAACCTAGGACTAACCGAGCCTGCACCAGGCAAAATTCAGCGGGAATGCAAAAACGACTACAAGTCAATCATCTTATCCCATAAACAGAGGGACAGCCCCAGAGCCCACTGACCTCTCCGGCATGGCAGAGGACTGCATGCCAGGATCTTTCCTTGCACAAAGATGCCTCTCAAGGATACTGCTTGAGGTAAAGTGATCCCTTATCAACTACAGACCCTTTGTAAGTGATCAATAGTATAGTAAAACTTTGTAAAGCTTACTAAATTGTATCCAGGATTAATTGTGCAAATAATCCCTTAGAAAGAAACCACTGAATAAGTCTGGGACTAAGATTGGATCCAGCTGCACCCAGACTCCTCTGAGAATGAGTCTGGAAAGCAAGGGGGTGCATTCTGAACTTCATGACTCAACAAGAGGGTCTCCTTGACAATTTTATATAACTCTGCCCTCTATGCAGTAAATAACAGTGTATCTTTCCATTGAATCTTCTTAAACCACTGTCCCTTATTACTACTTCTCTCATACGAATGGTGTGCATGACCTCACCCCCTTCATCACTCCTTCCACAGCAAAATATGATGCAAACACTGAATCCCTTGAGGAGGTTCCCTGATAAGCCAAGCAAATGCCCTAACACTACAGAAATTTGAGGCTTACATTTCCTTTTCCTCATGTAGCCTTGTTGATTCCTCCTGAAGCATCAGTAACTGTTGTTGAGCCAGACTGAGTTCATGAGAAGTTTTCTCCAAGTCTTTCAGCAGCTCCTGGTTTGTCAGCTTCAGCTTGGTGTTCTCTACTTTGGTTTCTTGCTTGTCACTGAGAAGTTCTGTACATTGTTGCTCTAACTGGGATGTAAGAAAAGACCATACAAAGTATTATCATTCACTGAAGCATCTTGGCTTTCAGGTTTTTCCATTTAAGAAGCAGAGTTAGTTGAATGGGGACTATTTCTATCAAAGTTGCCATATGATGATAAGATATAATAGCACTTTTCCACCGCTTTGAATACAGACATAGTTATGTCACTCTAAACCAAAGCATTACACCCTTTGTGTGACACAATTTAAACCAGTTCCAAAAGCTAAATCACAAAGAGGTATTTACAGGGATAATTAGGCATACTTAGTTGATATCCACAACTGCTATTTTAGACTATTTCCCACCATGACAAGGTCAACACAGAAGGACTCAAAGTTGTGGCTAAATTCTACCAGAAAGTGTGAATTAGAGCTATTGCATTTATAGTCACTTTCCAAAGTATACGCAAAGGGAAAATACACATGCCCTCAGAAAGAGAGGACAATAGTTTCTGCATGTTTAACCCATTTCTCTATGCTAAAAGAACAAGTTAAGATCAGAGAGAAAATGTTACATGAACTGAAAATCAGGCCATCTCATTTAAAAGAAAGCATTGCTGATCTGAAGGTATAAAAGCTTTTCATATTGTATTTTTAGCATGTATTTTAAGAGATGTCAAATACATATTACAAAGATATATATATAGTGTGCATATATGTATTTGACAGAATTAAAGAATCCATTCTAATTAAGGAAAAAGACTAGATGCTTCAGGTACCTAGACTTTCTCATCAGAAGAATGATTTTGGGAGAAGCAAAAATGAACTGACAACACTACTATTTCACCACACTGTAGGCAAGGTTTCACAGCTCCATTTGAAGTCCACAAGCATCAAGGAGAGCCAGTCTTTCAGAAAACTGGTGCCAAATACTGCATTTGTTGATTGCTTTAACTAGTTTGAAAACATATTAACTAAATCTGAATGTGGTCTGAGCCCACTTCTCAACCAAAATACACCACTTCTAGTCCATACACATCAAGTTGTGAGTTTCAAAATTACTTCCCTTTACCACTCATGAAAGTAAAGCTAAATTACAAGTGCCTTCACATCTCTATGCAGAAGGTAAGGACGGTTCTAACCATGGGTCAGAAATGAGAAATAAAGCCCAAGGATCTTTTTATGAACCTGCCTCATTTTAGTCTTAAAGGGTCTGTGTCTTCTATGGGACTACAGCAGACAAATACAAGAGATACTTTAGCACCTCTTCAGTAAATTCACTCTTCTGTTCAAAGATGACCATTTCTATCATTCTGTTAACATGCCTTGTAATCCCATTCACAATCTGAACTGGCAATACTATCGTAAGAAAAAGACTTTATTAATCACTACGTGATGAAAAATACATCACCATATAATAGAAAGGTATGCAGTGACATGAGGACTAAAGATCCTAGCAACAATGATAATAAGCAAGGTAAATTTTTATCGGTAAGTTCATAAACTTAAATATTAAGGTTAATGATTAATCTGCAATGATCAGTCCAATGTTTTACATATTTTTATACAGTAATAGGAGGTACTGAGCACAGGTACCACAGATGAGGCAAGAGTCTGCGCTGAGACCTTCTATTTGCAAGCAGCACACATCCAAAACTTCTAGGACACTCTAAAAAGATGGTATCCAAGCTAGCCTTCTCATAGCAGCAGTTTTTTTCTCATTCATTGTATTAAAGTCTTTTTCTTTTTTTTTTAAGCCATGGTTTTCATCAGATAATTTATTTCCACACAAATTGTCTTAGTAAAAAAAAACTTAGGAGCAGCAAGTTTCAGGCAGAAATCAGATTTATAGAAAATTATGGCCAACTAAAAACTTGAAAGGTTTAAAAAAAATGACCAGGCTTAAAAATCATGTAAGAATTCAAAGAGTTTTTGTGTTTTCTACACCATATTTAGAACACAAATATATCAGAAAATCACAGATGAAGGGTTTTAGAGAACTAGTTTTGTTTGTATCTGATTGACAATGGATTTTTGAACATAATTATGAAGCTAAAGGTTGGAGAAGATAAAATATAATCATTACTAAATCATGATGGATCGTTTCTTATTGTTTTGCAGTTAGTTTATCACACTAAAAGCTCTGATTTGTGCTCCCACGCATACCTCTTCAGAGAACAGATTCATTTGTTCTCGTGCTGCAATGTGGCTCCTTCAGGAGTCGAATGTGGCAAACTCCATAAAAGCATATGACTGTTCTGATTTCTAGTAGTATTGAACAAAGATAATTGACACTAGAAAGATTTTTTCAATACTCTTAAACCAGGCTCATATCCACATCACCCAAATGTGCATAATTATAAATATCAGGCATGAAGACATGGTTTTGACTTCCCCCTTATGATTGTGCAGCTCTGGAGTTCTTACCACTTTCAGCAGCACCTGGATTGATTTATCAGATTTTATCACTTATCAGAAGATGATCTAAAAACTGCACAAAAAGTAGGCACATGACTTCCTTCCTTTAATCTTTCCCTCTTATACCTCTTAACCTGCTTCCCAGGAGTGTTGGTCCCCACCACTGCTGCCAAAAAAAACCTTTTATATATGTTTTGTTAAATTCCACAGGGAGAGTTAGTTCTACAGCACTCCATTTCATCCCTATACTTCATTTGAATTCATGTGCTACTTCTCTTCCACATCTCTATTATTCCTTGCATAGCACTTGAAGACTTTCTGGCAAGTTTACACACACAGAAATATTCTGTTTCTCCAATTAGGCCAAACTTTGTAAGAAATAAAACTTATTAGGCATGAATATGGGAACTCTGATATCTGATGTGAGATGATATGACTCTGATATGAGGGCTGATATCACTCTAATGAGCTAATGGCAAAAAGATGAGGCTTGATTGCAGTCTATCTTAAAAATCTGTCAATCAGTAGGCATGCCAGGGCCATCCGAGATGATGCACTGCTATAGAACTGCTATCATAGAGAGATGCGTCACACTAGGTTTGTTTAGAAAGCATATTTAAAGTTCATAGGACATAGCTAGTCCCAAACTAGCCAAACTGCAGCTAGTACAAGCTTTGAACAAAGGTTCACACTCTACGACCCTAATCATTCTCTATTCTTGGGCTGTCTCCAGCAGTGGAATTCTGTTGACTTTAAACCCAACCTACTACTCTTTGGAGAATACCTTTTGTTTTTTTTCAATATATCATATAAAAGGAAGACTGCCTCTATAAATAGAGGGTAACGTTTTTTCAAAGCATATAGATAAATGATCTAGCATAATTCCATTTTTTAAATGCAATCAAGTATCCACAGTGATGAGCACAAAAGCAGAAGGAACTCAGAAAACTTTTTGAGGCACTTGCATTTCTGTTACCCAAAATGGTAGCTAAAGAAAATCACATGGACAAATAGAAATGATCTTTTAATAATGCAGTAGGATGCTGGTCAATACCCTTTGCTGTTTTTGAACCAGTTGTTCCAATTCTTGTTCTTTCAACAAGAGCTTGCATTCCAGCTCCCGGCTGTAGCACTGAAATCGTTCTGTGTCCTGCAAAAATCCCAAGAGGAAATTAGTTAACAGACAGAACAGTTTGTCAGCAGGAGAAGGCTAAAGCATTCAGGAATGAAAATAATAGGCAAGTTTCAAAGAGTGCACATAACCAGCTACTAAATCAATCCAGAGACACAATCCCTCATGATACTAGACTCTAAACTTGTTTGAAATGGTGTAGTTCCATCAGCCTCAATGCCTGTAGTTGCTAGAGCAAATGCTGATTGCACGAGTAAGTCTGGAGCCTTTACAAACTGTAGGCACAACATCTAAGAGGCTTTAACAGCCTCTTGTCTTTGGCACTTTGAGCCTTTGTCAATGAGATATAGGATCTTAAAATTCTTAGCCATTAAATCAATACAGCATCTTATCTCCAGCCACACACAACCTTCTCTTCTCTGCCATTGATATTCTTGCTAAGGTGATCCAAAAGTGAGCTGGTTCAGAGAACTAAACCATCAGAAAAAAAAATCAAGCACTGGGATACTCAAACTCAGCTGGACAAGGTCAGTTATCTATTACTCCTCTTCAGTGAGATAATTATCACCTTCCTTCAGAACATAACAGAAAATTACAAAACACGATAGGATTAATTGTGTTACGAACAATCCCAAAGATCATTATTCCTGGTCATGCCGAAAGGCTGGACCAATCGCAGCATCAATGATGCAGTAGTTTGGCTGACATCCAATCAAATACTGGCCTCTGTTGTGTACCAGTCATTAAGGACAGTGCAGCTATACTCCTTCAAGTCACTCAGTTTGAAGTTGTAGAGCGCTGGAATAGTTCAAAAACAGCAGTGAGGCAAATCATGCTTTCTCTTATTCTGTTATGAAACACATTTGGGAGGCTTTCATTTTACCCTCAGAATAAGTATAAAACCATTGGAAGTGGGAGCTGTTTCCATGCCTAAAAAAAAAAAAAAAAAAAAAAAAAAGCACTCACTTTCAAGATAAACTGCTCTTTCTCTTTTTTGATTTGCTCATCCATTTCCTCATAGAGATGCTGAATTTCTTCATCATAGGCAGCAATTTTTCTAGTAAGAGATAAAAGCATACTGAATGGGTCATGCCTCACAGTTATAGCTAAGTTTTAACACAGGACTCCAGGCAATGAGCACAAGCATAAGAATAGAATAATTTATGAGCAGGAAGGTCAGAGATTTTTTTTTCCATGAGAATAAGGCTTCAATGGCTCAAATTCTAACAAATCTTCACATTTGATGTTTTCAT